CAATCATAGAAAATGATACCACAGTGTCCCAACCTGCAAAGGACAGAATAACGGAGGGAGCTGATACCTTGATGCACAACAATTCACTGTATTAATGAATGTGTTTCAAGTCAACAAGTTCTCTTTTCCAGAATCCTAGCACTATGGCAATGCTATGAGGATGGCGTGGTAGCTGTATAGTTAACATTGCATTACACAGTTCAGTTCAACAAACAAATTACTTTTTTTTTTAAACAAAGCGCAAGTTTCTGCAGCAGAGCCTGAAAAGAGTTCTGATCTAAATGAAGAGATATGACAGCATGCAAGGACAGGAAGATAGGAATAGAAAATGAATGCAGGTTTGTGTAGAATAGTTAAATGTGTGTTTAATACCAATTCCACACATCTTAGTGCTTAAACTTTTTTTGTAGGTAACACCACATGTATCCCAGCATCTTCTTCACTTCTTTCAGGAAAAAGCTTGTAATGTAGAAACCTAATTACTGTAGCTATTTGAATTCAGAAATTTCTTAAGAAGCAAAATAGCTAGAATTTTTTTAAAATGAACTCTTAGTTTCTATAGATGGCTTTGCCACCAGTGGATTTATTTAAAACAAAGTGATTTTAATTACCAATATTAATCATCATTTAAATCAAGGTTTCCTGTTTGCGTATTTAAATAATCAATTTAAATCTGTTTTTAATATGTACTTTTTAGGTTTTTTTCCCTAAAGAAAGGTTGATCCTCAGTTGTTGGTATAATCTGGTACTACCTTCTTCTTTTTCTTCTTTTTCTTTTCTTTTTCTTTTCCAACCAGGAGGCTACACTATACCCATACACATTTAACCGAGCAGTTATGCAGCTTAACATTTATTCAGATTCCTAAATTTTACATTTTTAATTATGCTAGAGAATGGTGAATGATGAATTTATTTAGTAGATGAAGATTCATTTTTTATTCATGATCTCTATTAACCTCCATTTGGATGGAAATTAGAATGAATTTAAAATGAACAAATGGGATTTTAAAAATCTTTTTTAGTAAACAGAACTAACTTAAATGTGCTGGATACATAAAGAGAAAAGTATCAAAACATTTTGCGTTTAAAAGTAATTGATTTATTACTACTTCCTTTGTTTATCTGTAGTTAGTGAATTGAACTGGTTGTTTGTGATCATGATGTTTTTCAAGATTTCAGAACTAGCAGATCTCATCCTCTCACACCTCACTTCTTTTCATAGATTGGACGAAGAAAACAAGCTTTGCTGCTTTTTCTACTCCCAAATGGTTTCTCGGCTTTGAATGAATTAGTTTTAGAACTAAGGTAGCTTAATCAACTGAAATGAAGAAAATAATCTCTGCAACTGCAGAATAGGCTGCTGCTGATGACAAAAGCTGGTTTAGCACTTCCAACAAACTCTGGTTCCATGGATTTACCTAGTGATTTCCACCAGCTTCTGTCAGTAGTAGCCTCTTGTGCAGGTGCAGAGAGAATATTTTCTTCATTTTAGTTTATTCAACTAGTTCAATTCAAAGACTAGCTCACCAAAAGTTGAGAAACCAATTGAAAGTTGAAAACACCCTGAAATAGCTCAGGACACGTTCATTTTATACCCTTATGTTTAGAGTATTTTCTGTTACATTTAAGTTCCTGTACAGACCAATAACTAAAGGATAGAGAATGTCAGGCAATGATTTATACTAACAGCAAGTCCTATGTCTGTGACACAAGGAGCTGTGAGATTGCAGCCATTCTATCTAGAAGAGACAGAAGAATATTATGTCTAAAACTGTTGTCTTCTTAATCTAGATTAATTTGAAAAATAGTTCTTTCATGCACAAACATCCTCTAGTCATTAGGAGAGCAGAACAATGATACCTATTGTCAGATGCCTTTATTGCAAAACTGGGCCCCAAGTTTTTCTATAAGAGCAACATTTGTGTTGCTTTGTAGAGGAAGGGCTTTCACAAAGCAGTGTCTGCTCTCCTGAAGAAAAGTATCTTTCTGAAAGTGCCCTGCTCAGAAAGAGGAGCTTCTGCACTAAGTGGGTAATTTCACAAAGATTCTTTTTTGTGTGTGAAATAAACCACTGCTGGTCTGGAGATCCCTCCTGAACCCCAAAATACTTGGAAGTGAACAGAGATCCACAGAACACACATACACACAGCCCTAGCTCTGCCCTAATGAGGATGTCAGTCCCACAAGCACCCTGTTTCCCAAATATTAGTGAACTGTGCAGAACTGTGTCGAAAGGAGTGAGAGATATATATAGAGAAAGCATGTGCATATGTCCAGTTTCTCATGGCAGGGAATTGGGGATGTGGTACTGGAAGGCTGGCATCCCTAGAGGTTGTGGTATAATGAACTAATGAGTCATTAGCGTTACTTGCCGGAGTATCTCCAGTTTGCAGGTTGCATGTTTCAATCCTTCACAAAGCTGTTGCACCCCTGCAAATCCCAGTTTATTTATCTCCAGGTCCAGCTCTCTCAGAGTCTGGTTGGTGCTGAGAACACAGGAAAGATCCTGACAACAAGCAGCTGTGAGCGTGCAGTAAGACAACCTGCAGCAGGCAGAGATTTAGGAGAGAGTTAGGGTTGGAAATCAGCCTTTTCTTTACTTACTTCATTACTTCAACCTCCTGGTAAAGGAAAATGAGATCTGTCAGATGTTAAATGGACAATAGAGAGGACCTGTGATCACTTATGAATGGCAGAGACACACTTTAAAAATAGGCAAAAATTAAAGAAAATGCACCTTGTATAGGGACATGAGTTCAAACAAAGAGAACTAAGTATCTATCATTACAAATATCAAATATTATAAGCAAAATTTTTATAAAATTACACAAATAAATGTCCATGTGGTGATGCCTCTTCATCAGGTTCTGGTCACTAACGATGGAAGTCATGATATTACAGGTGTTTGGAATTGTTTATAGGTGGGATGGATTAAATCTAAATAGTGTCCAGAATAACACTGAGACCCCAAAACCACACCTCTACTTCACCTCCGAGCTTCTGTAAGGGAGTAGTCTCAAATGCACATTTATGGGTAATGGGAGGGTGTCCCACCTCCTATGGCTCCTTATCTTCACACCTACAAGGGTGAGAGTGATGGGGGAGGGCAGAGAATTATCTTCTCTCTCTCCTACATGCCATGTGGTATGGGATGTCCTAGTGATACCTTTGACTCAGGTGACCACCCACAACACAAGGCTTGGATTAGTGCTGTTAGATCTGGCCTTAATCCTCATTGGCTGTTTCTTTCATTTATTCAAGATTGTCAAAACAGTTACTAATTTTGGAGCACGCCGAGGAGAGAGATCTGTCGAATGAACTACTGATTGTCACCATAATCCTCCATAACTGGGAAGTTCTGTGCTCAGAGTTTCAGCCTCCAAAACCTTATTTCCATAATTACTCTTTGCAGCAGAATATACCCCTGTATTCACACCCTATACTATAATGATCTTTGTACAAAGTAACAGAGGGTCCTGTGGCACCTTTAAGACTAACAGAAGTATTGGGAGCATAAGCTTTCGTGGGTAAGAACCTCACTTCTTCAGATGCACGAGGGGCGGCTCTTACTCACCA